ATCAGTGCCAAGTATGCCACTGGTAATCAGTGAATTAAATGTGAGATCCCTAACCTAGCTAATCTTTATTGTGTGATCTAACTAACCTTGTTTTAGTGCTTAAATTCAATGAATATGGTATTAGAAGATTAAAATTAACATGCAAATATTAGTATTTTAGTTATATAATGCTTAAACATTTTTCCTTTTTTAGTTGAACTTCAATGATTATCAGTGCCAAGTATGCCGCTGAATAATTAGTGACTATCCACTGATTCAGATTTAGAGAGCATGTAAATTATTATTATTCTCTCGTGTAATAAGAATTTTTTAAATAATAAATATTATCGACGAGACGTTAATATAATAAATTATCGGCGGACTGCAGTGACAATTAGCATTACACTTCCTTTTCATATTATGTTACTAATTCTGTTATTGATTAAATAATCAGTTAGTAATCTCACAATATATTATACTCTTTCGTAGTTGTTATGATAATCATTATAAATAATGTTTACACCGTTAACTAACGATCAATATTACATCGTGTTCTATTTGCTTCTGCGCATTCGCTGTACTTGCATCTAGTATTACATGTAAAGCCACATTAATGTTAATTAATGAATATGTTACGCAGATTAAGTTTAATAATTTATTTAATTATATATATTATCGTTATTCGCGTCTCTCTTTTTGCAAAGATCTGTCGATAAAGTAAATTAAAATAAATTAATATTTCTATTTATATATTCTTCAGGAACGAAATTGTCCCATTATAGAAACAGAAGATGCATTAATTGTTCTTCAGTAACTAAGATTCGATTAGTTGTAGAAAAAAACAATAGAAATTTTTTAAGATAAAATTCACAGTAACATATAATGGAAGATCAAATCTCGGTGAATACCATTCGTTTGCGGAGTAAGTGTATCGATGTGACTGCCACTGGTTGACAACGGATTGTGTCGTCGAAATGTCATCCTAACAATATATATACTTTAGTTTACTTTTTCAACCGCGATGCGCGCACAAATCGACAGTAACTTTTGAACAGCGATGATAGTGATCTCCCGGTATTACTGGAAATGCAATTCGAGCACTTGCTCCGGACACTCTAATTCACTTCGTATCACAGGGAGCAAGAATAAAAGCGGACAAAGAGGATGAAGGGCATAAAGCTGCACAGTGCGTGGCACTGTGTGACGTGTATGTACGAGTGACCTGCGTGCGTGCGTGCATGTGCACGACGGCCCGCCACGGAGCTCTATATCCGGTCTAACTTCCGCTTCTCTGTCGGTTCCCAACAATATCGTCTCTCAAATCTTTCGAGTTTGCCCTAATCCGATTCACAGACTCGTGATACAAAGACGAAAGGATCTCGTCCGCATTAGAATCGAGCGCGACTAATTTACGCTAAAATTCGAACATGCAAGATTAACTTTGAAAAAAAATGAAGAGAGATGCAATCCTAGATGTAATAAATATAGACTGCACATTTTCTGATCCGTTAGAAAGCATTCGTTTTAGAAAGAATTTTATTAGCATCTCTTTTCAACTTAACATTTTACAAAGAAAGAGAGAAAAAGAATGATATGATTCAAGCTATCTCATTCTTTCTAAACCGAAATGACCAATTTCAGAAATGTATAGTCTATTCTTATTACTATGTAAATCTATGCGTAAGGAAATGGAGAGTAATATGAAGATCTTAAGATTTGTTGACTTTTTCTAACTTCTGTGATGACGTAAAAAGAATGATGTATTTTTTTCAGATTCACTAAAGCTCTTCGTCATCATTTATAAAAATTAAAAACTGTTAAATTGAAATTTATATAATATTTTTTAAGGACATGCTAATTTCGTCATCTTGCCCTTATGCAAGTAAAATGATTTTCAGTAGTGGATAAAATTACAAAAAGTTAAGTTAAAAATATACTTTTTTACGATTGAAAAGATTTATTTTACTATAATAAACACTTCTTATATTATTTTGATATTATGATATAAAAACGCAGTTAAAGAAAAATAAAAATAAAAAAGATTAGTAAATTACATATGATAAGATTTACTTACATAAGTAATCAATACTGAAGAACAAATTTAATGTAGTTATTTATAATGCATATTGATAAATATAACCTCCACACAAATATCTCGTCATCTTGCTCATCACTGAAAAGCATCTTACCCGCAGTCATTGTACTGATTTATTCATTTAATAAAAATGTTACAATACAAAAAATGAAAAATATTAATATGTTATTTGATACGTTTTTTATAGCTGTACTATATATATTGTGATTTTATAAAGAAAGTAAAAGTATTTACTATAATTACGTTATTCCTCATAAATTAAAAATATTTATTACTATATTATTTACTTTTGTAGATATATCGAATCAAACTACACACACACACACACACACACACACAAAAGATGATTTGTTATTATCTAAAGCCTTTAGTGAATTGAACTCGTCATCTGTTATGACCTTAGAAAAATTAATAATTCATCATCTTATTTTTCTTTCTCAATTTTCCACGTACTTTTCGATACATTAAACCGACTTCTTGCGAGGCGGAAGTTTCACGTATTCCATTATGGAATACATCACTCGTCGCGGAGTCCTTCTCTAGGATGTCGATGACCGGCAAAGGACGATCAATTCTTAAAACAAATGGTCCGATCGTCCCAGTTCGCGTCTCGCGGTCGCGCGAAAAAATGAGATACTCGCGCCTCACGACCTATCTCCTGAAATATTCATTCTTCCGGTTACTTCGAAAGCCCCTTGGCATCTCTACGCGGCTCACGTATCGTGTTTCCGTGCATAAGAGATACACGTGTCCAGCGGTCGGAACAAACCACCAGGGATCGAAATGCTTCCACGTCGCAAGCAATATAATGCCAATAATTGTCGTCAGCCAAGATTTCCTGCGATTAATCGCCAGCATTCATATCAGATCATGATATCGGTAATACAAAAATCATCACTATCAGAAGAAATATGATAGAAAAAAAGCAGCAGAAAGTTTCCGCCTTACTATGCACTCTATTTTTCGTTCGAAAACCTCTGTTCCCATTCGATACGATTTACGATCGGAAACAAGAAAGTCTCATCATTTTGCGTCATGTCAAAATTTCTCCTACTTTTTATTTCCACTCTTTATAAGGAAATTTTTGCGCTTTATAGGGGAAATATAGAGCGACGTCGTTTCCAGATACGTTTGATATTTCAAATGGGTTACGAGATCGTGATGGACGTAAAAATGGCCGGACGTGTTTTCCGACATCTCGGCGACTCGAAGTTAGACGTCCGTTTTAACGTCGAGCACCCAAGAGCAAAATATAAGATATAAACGAGAGTAACGCTACGAATGAAAGAGAAAGAAAAAGAGAGAAACAAAAAAGTAAAAGAGACGAACAAACGATAGATAGATATCAAAGAAGTGACTCGTAGAGACGATGCTTGCCGACACGGTGTGCCCAACTCTCGTGCTCGTTTTCCTTTCCAGAAAATAAGAAAGAAGTCGGAGAGAATTGAGGAAGCGAGAGGAATGGTGATATTCTGGGTCCCGGAGAAGAATACCGTCAAGACACGTATATACGCGCGTACACAGAGGGTGTAACGGGGAAAAAGCGGTGGTGAGATAGAAGCACAAAGAGTGGAAAGGAAAGTGGAGAAGGAGATGCTGCTTCCTGTCCTGGGTACCGCTTATTAATATACCTTTCGAGCCACGCGAATTGTGGCTGGTATCTTGGCAATTGCAGCATCGTGATCCTGCAGGAGATCCCGTGAATTGTCATTCTTACCATGAAGTATGATACGGTAGTTAATGCAACGGCAGATAGTGGTTATGCGACGTTATAATAACAGTAGGTAAATGGGATTTTAAATTAGACGCTCGCGTTCGTCTATCCTTTTCGTATTTTATTTCATAGTAATTCTTCTTTCTAATTAATTTCTGTTCATAAGAGCGTAGATTTCGAATACAGAGATTTTAAAAAGCTATTTGTTTTGTTCATAAATTTTCTCTCTCTCTCTCTCTCTCTCTCTCTCTCAAGAGATCCACAGAGAAAAATGCATTTTCAGAGTTTAATTAAAAATATAATGACTAATATAAAAGTAATATTGAATAAAATTAATAACATAATTAAAAATATAAAAAATATCTACACTTTTAATATTAAAAAACCATAGATTTAAAAAGTTACAGAAAAATGTTTTAAATATATATTTGTATTATCAGAAATGTTGTATTTGTCTTTTATATGGACCATTGGGAACGATTTCGATTATAGAACACAAAATTAAAATTAAAATGTGATATTAAATTGATAAAATCAGCGGCGAATAATTACAAGCTGAAACCGGCAATCTCTCTATAATTTGTCACTATATAACAGTTAATTAATAAAAGTTGGTATAATAATGCAATAAAATTGATAAAAAATTTAATTAAAAATGGAAATAGAGAATATATTACAAAAACTAAAAAAATTATTTTACATAACCGAAATAATATCTGCAATGTATAAACCCATTGATTATTTATATTTTCATTACATAAAGTGTCATACGTTTTGAAACAATATTAAAATACTGCAATATCAGATAATAAATAACCATTATTTTATTTTTAATTTTCTTTTTAATTTTTCAAATATGCATTCGCAAATAATTAATTTAAAAACTCTCCAACGTGCTTCTTATGAATTGGCTATGGAATACTCATTGAATGTTTTTCGCTCGGTTGTAATATTGACATGATTTTAAATCGTACTCTTCTAGGACACTCATGAGTTCTTCTTTAACGAAATAATTATCTTTCACAGACGAAAATTTTTCGGCGAGAGAGTGTGAGATCGGCACGGCTCGGGCACACACGAACGAACGCAGGCCCGAGGGTTGGCTCCGGCGGCGCGGTGCGGCGCGGTGCGATGCGTCGCGACGCTCGGCGCCACGGCCTCCCTCAGTCAGCCCTGCGCCGTACGGGCGACGACCACGAGGGAAGAGGAAGCGCCGCCGCTTCTCGCCGTCGCGCGAGCCGACGCGACGCGACGACGAGCGCCCGTCCGTCCGTCGAGAGCTTTAGTCCGCGTCCGCACGTCGACTGAAACACGCGACCTACGTCCACCCGGTCCACCCGGTGTAGTGTGCGCGGCTTCCCTCCTTCCTCTTGTCGTTCAAACTCGTCCTGAAGGAACGGCCAATTCTACCGGATCGGATAACAAAGTCTCTTCTCTTACCATTCTCCTTTTTTGTCTTTCTCTCTCTCATTCTCTCTTTCTCTCTCTTTCTTTCTCTCTCGCTCTTATTGTCTCTTGTCGTCTTACTCGCGTCAGTTTCTGATAGTACTTCTCCTGCTCCTTCGACAGATGCTTCGCGATCCTTTCTAAGTTAGATGGAAGGGAGGATGTTTCAAGCGCGTGGAAGGAAGATTAAGACCGCCGGAAATTCGGGATGTAATATCCGGCGGCCCTAGTTACACGTAGTGTGCGCCAGTCGGCTTTCCTGCCTTCAAAGTTGCAGTAGCTTCAATACAAACCGGAGTAACGAAGGACGCTCACTTTTGGATTCGACGATTTCGATTTTGATCGAAGAATCAGCTCAACGAAGGTGCGTTTTCGAAGAATTTTATTATTTTATTATTCGGGTTAAAAGATAAAAGTATCGCTGGACGGTATTATGTATATACAATCAGTTTAAGAACTTCTTTGAATTATCCAAATTGGATGCAGCATTAATAATTCTGGACATTATCTTAGAAATAAAAACTATTTTAACACATTACAAGAAAAATATTTTTGTTATTTTAGAATTTGCAAATTTTTATCTCATGAAACTAAAATGATATAAAATTATTTGTATATACATCATACATAATCTTCAGTAATTTTTTTAGAATGTCTGTAAAAATTATTTGTAGGATAAATCGGGGTAACTTGGATAAGTTAACAGAAAAACTTTTAAAAGACTGTATAAAAGACTAAGGTTGCATAGTATATTCAATTAAACATACAAAACACAATATTGCACTGTAATGCATGAATGTTTTATACATTTGATTGAATGCACTATGCAACCTCAATTTTTTATACAATTTGAAAATTTATAGAAAAACGTATTTTATTTTTTTCTTATAAATTTAAAAATTAACTTTTGATTCTCTTAATTTTCTTATCCTCAAGTAAGCAAATTATTTTTACGAATAAATAACATTTTCATACACAATTTAAATATTTTAGATTTATATACTAACTTTCCCAAAAAAGAAAAAATAATTTCGACCATATAATTATTTAAGGCCGCAAGAAGTTTAAATGTACCAATGTTTCCAAAATACCACGAAAAGTTATCTCCGACATGGTAGAAGATTACACAGAAACCTTAAGAGGAAAGTCGCTTATTATTATCCTGAAAAAAAAAAACTTATGAATGAATCATACTACCAATCCAAGAATTTTAAATTTAATAAGGCAAGAGTCTCGTTGCTGTAAGGGTCGCAACAAGTTTAAATTCACCATGGCATCTCGTTGAAGAGATATCGCGGAAGTTACCTGCCCGACAATGGTTACAAGAATATTCTCTCTCATTCTCTCCTTCCGCATTCGCTATTCCCACGCAGTCCTAGACAACTCCTGTACGTTAGAGGGTGATTCTCCATCCACCCTGTGCAACACGATGCGATGCGACGCGACGCGGAGAGCCTTGCCTCAAACTTTTCCGTAATGAGATTTCCCAGGGAACGAAGAGGGATTACGGCGCGGAGAGACTTTTTGCTCGTGTCGCCCGCGTGTGCATCGCCGCGGTCCCATACATCAAACTGTCGGCCGGGGATGTTGCAGGTGCATATGATACGTACGGCTCCGTTAAGCGCCTTTATTACTCGTGGCGAGGCCAAGGGAAATGCGTATCGACGAGTGAAATTTTTTCCGCAAACTTTTCTCACGTTTAGCGAATTAATCGATGTTATTCCAGTCCTCAATTATAGCTAAAACTAATGACTTAACATCGTTGATCGAGTACTGAGAGATTACATTGTATTGAAAAAAATGATTGGATTAAATAATAATTCTGGTTGGATTAAATAATAATTCTAGTTCGATTAAATAACAATTCTGGTGGAAAATGAACACGAATCAAAATTTTCTAGATAAATCTACTAGAATTCTAGTTGAGATAACTAGAATTCTGATTGATCTAATTATTCCGATAAAAATAAGAATTCAAGTAGATATTTTACCAGAAATATTGTATCAACTAGAATACCGGTTATCTCAACTAAAATTCTATATAATAAATTTAACCAAAAAATTCTGATTCGTCCGTTTTCAACAAGAAATTTTGTTAGTAGTACCTTAATCTTGAAGTGCTTCGTTAACGAAGCTGACATTAATTTAATTAATGCTATTTGCATTGATCAATTTTAGAAATTTTGATTTCGGGAGTACTTATTTACATTTCTTCGGTTTTTTAAAATTTTTTCTCCGTTCGGAGAAAAGCTAGCTTATTAAAGTTCTCGGAGCGCTTTCTGTGCGCATGTGCTCGTTCGCTCCCTGCTGTCGCTTAAACACGAGTACACATGTGCGATTGTCCCTCGCGAGTTTACGTTAACTTCCGTACGTCGGGCATGCCGACTGGCGACTGTTTATTTGCCACGATAATTATCGCGGGAGTTTTATAAAGTCCGGAAACGAGCTTGCACGCACGTGACTGCACTCACGACGGCACGGCTTGTTACAAAACTACTCGTCGAACTTACAAAAGGGAACGCGCGTCCCCATCCGGAGCAACGGCAACGAGATTTAACGAGCGCACTTTCCATACCGTATAAACGTGCGCGGAAAAAGCGCGTTTGTAACAACGAGCCACACTTGTGAAATGTTCCGGCGAACTTTTACGCGAAAACTCATACGACGCACGAACGTCATAACTTGCCCCGTTTTTTCGCGCTTTTATTTCTCGCGCGACGTGTCACCGCCACTATAATTCCGGAATTAAATATGGAGAACCTAGAATTTGCCCTTGTTAGTTACAATTTATCGAGCTGTCAAGCGATTAAAAATCGCGATACTTTGTCATTTTCAATGTTTTACGTTCGCGATGTCGGTATTTTAATTCTATTAACGCATTTTTCATTTTTCAAGATTATAATGTCGAATTAAGTATGTTCACTGTAATATATCACTTTAATTCCGCAAAGTACATTTACAAAGAGAATTTTCTAAAATAATTTTTTCTACGTTAATATCTTTCTTGTTAATTTTAATTTATTACAGCTTCATCTTTCTAGAAATATGTAAGGTAAATATATTAATTATTGGACATGAACCAATTGTTGGACAAACTGATCAAACATTTCAAATATTAAGCTTTTAATGATATATTTTAAATAAATTTATTATTAAACTTTATAAATAACAAATTTATTTAAAACTGTACATATCATTAAAAATTTAATATTTAAAATTTTTTGTCACTTTGTCCAATAAATTGGTTGTCCCATTAACTGTCCATAATCTGGAACATTTAATTTATTTAATATATTAAATTTTTACTACACGGAAAGAATGTGGTTTTGCTGAAATATCTAAAAATTTAGCTTATAGATACGAATCTGAAAATAATTTTCTTTACCCTTCTCCCCCCCATCAATATAGTTATGTAGGACATAAACTGGTTGCTAAAATGTTAAAACTTTTTGTAACATTGTTTAAAAGTCACTTTAAGTGTTCTACGTAACTATTTTAATGGTCTAACAAAATTACTTTCAGATCTGTATTTAGTTAAATTTTTAGATACTTCAGCATTTTTTTTTTGTGTATTAATATATTTTATGTATTTCCAATATTTGTATCTGTATTTCGTCACTTAACAGTCAAATTGTTTCAGTAACTTAAAACGTTCGTTGTTTGATGATACTGAATCCTACGGATTTTTTCGCGAGAATCGCATCAAAGATCAATTTCTACGATGTGTCCAGTGTCAATGCTGAAAAGGTTAATCTACGTTTTTACGGGTTTTACGTTCCTTCGATGTCACCTCTCGTCCACAAGTTCCGCGCCGCGATTTAATTAAACTCTCTCCGACCTGCCATCGAAAAATCGATGCTGTCGTCGTGGATTTTACTAGCGGTTCCGCGAGACTCCGAACGAAGCAATTCCGGCGAGACCGGTCGAGTCGATTTAGCTCGTTCGTGCAGAAATCCGCGCCCGAACTAGTCAGCCGGCCCCGAAAAGTTGCGGATCGCAGGGAAAATTCACAGTGACAGCAACGACGGCAACAAGGAATTGCTCTGAACTTATTCAATTGAACTAGTTTACGGTAGAACAGAGTACTTCGTTTGTGAGAGCGATCGATATTAACTCTTTAACACTATGGATAAATATGAAAGTATCACCCAAAGGAAAAATCGCGTCAGAGTAGAATACCTGGCACCAAAAAACAAAAAACTTGGAAAATGTTAAAAAAAATAAGTAGGTACGTAATTAAGTTTGGCAACTGTTGCTTCACTTAGATATTTTTTCTTCGCACACGTGAAAACAATCTCAGCGACATAATTATAACTCTCAGTAGTTATCATTACGCAGTCATAGTAACAGTGATAGTTCATTTTACTATTAGAAATATATGACTGTTGTGGGTATATTAAGATATCAAAATAACCCATCGCTCATGTCTCGCTGCATGATCTGCCGTATTTTGCATGGCGCGTTATGTCAGAATAACGAGAACTTGGGATTACACTATGCTTTAGTGAGTAATCTATGACCACTCGGCCAGGAACGAGAAACGAGAGCAGGTTAAACTCTCGAGGGATAGCTCTAAGCCGGGAATGTCACGGTGAAAAATTGTTACATCAACGGACGAATGGGCCCGGAGAGAAAGAAAAAGAGAGAAAGAGAGGAGGATGGAGAGAAGCGCGAAGTCAAAAGTTACAAAGAAACGCACTCGTATACATCTGTCGAATGTCGTTCTTTATAAACTCGTATTTCTTGCTTAATTCTACGAAAATTCTTTCACGGGAATGCATGTTGCACATTTTTACGATAAACGTTTGTGTTTAATAGATTTATTTAAACCTTATGACGCGAAATTCGCAGATTTCCATGAATATAGAAGCTCGCTTCCGCTTCATCCACCGGGAGCAGTAAAATGTTTATCACCTGGAGTTTCCCACACCTCGACCAATACTAGTTAACGTTTCAACACCTCTCTCGTGAATTCGAAAAATCCACCAACCTCTTGTTCACCTCGTTGATGACGTTGATACTGGTAACGAGTCTGTCGAAAATATCGATCGACAGTTATATGTACTATTTCAAATTTTGCAATCTTTTTTCAGATACATAATACACACAAGAAGATCAAATAAAGAGTGAACGAAATTAATTGTATTTAATGCCAATTGATACTGACGTAACCGGAAAATTTCCATTTCCACGTTTAACCTCGTTCGTTTCGCTTATCCTGCACGTTTAACCTATTACATCTCTTTACGATGTATACCGGGTGACCTGAAAATCTCTGCGGAAGGCAGCTCTTGGGCGACTCACGGTCTGCGCTTTATTAAACGGGGCTTGACTCAACGTCATCTGGCACAATCGTAAAGCAAACTTATCGCACGTCCTCTAGGCACCTCGGCGACCCGTATTACGAGGTCGGACAGGAATTAGATTCAAAATTCGAGGAAACTGCGGAAAGCACGAGTGAGTCTGTGCGAAGTGCGTTTGGCTTTGTCTTGGAGAACGCGAAAAGGGCGTCTTCGCACCTTCGCCGGAAATACATATAAATCATGACTCGATTAATCTTCCGGACTTAATGGGACTGCAGACTCTACGGGGTGATTCAGAGACATCGCTGTACTCGTATTTTTTTTCACTGGATCCATTCGCCGAGCACATTTTCTTCTAATGAATATTTTACTTTGTATTTTTCTCATTTTTACCTTTGATTACTAAGACTTTTTTTATGTCAAGCTTAACCCTTAGTACACACGATCGGGTCATTTGTATCCTACGCATTTTTTTTCTTTGAAATACCAGGAACACTTGATTAAATAACTTCTATTCTCTTTCTATTCTTTCTTTTTTTTAATACACAACTTTATAAATATTTTCTAAAGATGTTAAAGTATGTTAAAATATGTAAGACTTAATAATTTTTATATGCTTGTAAAAGTAATGAAAATTAATCCCGGACGCGAGCAACCTAGAACCGGAAAACCATCGTGTGTACGAAGGGTTAAACATAAATCCTACATCTATCTACATAGAGGAAGGTCACCGACACCGACATACCACTTTGTTTTTAGACAATATTTCTTAAACAAAAGTATAATAGTATAAGTTAATAGTAACATAGTATAATCAATTTTTATAATACTGTTTGCAATTTTGCAATAATTAAGTTTTTCGTAAGTTATGCAAAAATGAGTGTCTGACAAAATGGGCTCCAAAACTGACATAGTAGATAATAATATCAACATTCCTATTCTATCAATAAAGATATATCCTATTCTGTAAAGAAAACTAATTTATGAAACTATAAACATTAAAAATGACATAATAATATCAACATTCCTATTCTATCAATAAAGATATATCCTATTCTGTAAAGAAAACTGATTTATGAAACTATAAACATTAAAAATGACATAATATTATCAATAATACAGTCACTATTATTTTAATTACGTAATTTGCAAAAGAACACCGTAAGAATTTTCTTCTCGGATTCATAGAATTGGTTTTTAGCTGATTTGGTATAGAAATAAGCCACAAATATATGAATTATGAGTTTGTACTTCTTTAATTAGCTAAACAGATCATGATTTTATTAATATTAATAAAGTACAATAGTTAGTTTCTGAGAAATAAGGGGGTGTCACTTTAGGAGACCTATGTCAGTATCGGCAACTTTCCTCTAACATCAAATATAATTTTAAGAAAACAGTGCACATTTTTCGATCCAAATTCCACTAAAGTGGGAAAGGCGGATTCTTTGATGGAACTATTGTCGATCTTTTGTTAAAGAGCAAGTAGAAGGTGGAAATTCTTCTCGCTATTTTCTGTAAGTCGAATGATGTTTGCACAGTATGCGACGCGTTTATTACCCAAGAGTAGAGGAGACACGGCGCAAATTTTCCATTCTTAAATTAGGTCGCGCATTCTGTGACTAACGCACGGCCGACGACGACGACGACGACGACGAGGACGACGACGACGGCGACGACGACGACGTTTCTCATGAATTGCAAATTCCTATGTTGTTTTTCTCATCTTTACGGCTTCACCAACTCCTCTTCCTCTCATCCCTCCACTCTATCGTCTGCTTTAGTCAGTTTGCGTTGCGTTCGTTTTGTTTTGTCAGGAAATAAAACGTACGTCTCCACTGACAATTTCTCGAATGGCTCCGCGACGTCGAATGATTGGCATACCATTACGTATGCGACATATTATTAAAATATTGCTTTTAATTAAAAGACTGCTTTTAATAGTAACGATTGGATCTTTTTCTATATCTTCCAAAAAGAATTCTAGAGAGATGCAATATAAATGCATCATTTAATTAAAGTTAATCGTAATTATTTTTCAATATTACTTTAAAAAAAAAATTAGTTGCAATGCAAAATACATTTATTTGCGAATGTTATCGCCAATCTTACGTATCTTGTTCTAGTTTCCTGTTCTCGTATCTTACGGGACCCACCCTTAAGATCTAAATAAATTATATCTATTTATCTCAGGTCGTCCTTAGGGAATCTATGGCAGAAGGAAATTCATCCATCTACAGCGTCTATCCATCTATCTACCAATTTATCAACCTGCCGCGCTTTTTGCAGTAGTCGTTAATTTAAGTCACGAGATCGAACGGCAAATCTAACGGCCGTTGATTTACGGAGAGCACGCTTTTTTGGTGCGGTAATGGATCCAACCGTAATTCGCAACGACATGCACTCGAATTTAATCGGACAGATTTCTTCGAAAGTCTGAAAAGCACGAACGACATTCGTGGTAGAATGAACGACAGCTCCACACAGATAGTCTGGCAGGATTCTCGCTCCCTCCTTGACGTTCGCCACGTTCCGCAATTTCGTCCCAATATTCGCGAGAGAATTCGGATTTAATTGACCCAATTCAGAATTAAGCTTTGCTGTGTTTCATGAATGCTTCGTTCGTAGTAAAAGGCAATGCTTTCAATTTCGATGACGTATAAATGTTAGGTTTTTTCCTATGGAAAACAATAACATACAGCACGAAGTCCGTTTAATCTTCAAAATTCATGACTGACAATTAATATTTCTCTTCTGCTGTTTACCTGCAGTTTGTTATACATTTTTTGTTTTTAAAATAAAATATATATATTAAGTTTAAAGACAGAAATATATATGTTAAGTTTAAAGACAGAAATAAGAATGTATGGTTAAAAAGAATAAATCCATTCGCTGGATTATCTAGCAGAGTTATTTGTAATTATGTTTTTTTTTTCCAGGTCTCTAGAGTGCTCGCTGCCAAACGCACCGACAAGTAGTACAAGACTCGTTGCCAAATTTCTCTACGTGACAACTACCGCCGCCATCACTTCAAATTTGTTCCTCTTACAAAAGCTTTAGAATGCGCTAACAAAGCCACGACGTAACTTCATCACTACAATTACCAGATTTCTGACGAGATTTTCGTAAGAATCTCGTAAGGTTGAAAGTACAGAGGAGTTTACTTTGCGAGGAGGTGAAAAGGGACACAATGAAGAGACTTGTCTTCAACGGGACGAAGTGATCTTCGAAGAAACGAAGAAGCGAAGAGAATTCGAAGCTTTGGGTCGGGCGAATCGGGCCGGTGACGGGCCCGATCGGTGTGATGGTCTCGGGGTGGTGCCCGTGCGTGCCACTGGGGCGCCGGCAATCGCCGGCCCAGCAGCAACAGCAACAGCAACAACAACCGCCGTCGTCGTCGTCCAGGGCGCCGTTCACCGTCAGCGGCGCGACCGATCGCGCGGACATGGTGCAGATGTTCTACTATGAGAACCGTGGCAAGTGTTGCAAGAAGCTGCTCAGATACAATGGATATCCGAATAAGGTTAGATAATTTGGCATCACAATTTTATTTTGCGATATAGAAAATTCAATCTGCTTATTGTTAATTACGCTTTATTATATTCCTTGACAAATTTGCTATTGAGTTTTTTTAAAATAAAATTCGTAAATTTTAATAAAATATATTAAAATGTATTATTAGACAAAATATTAAAAAAAAAATCCTTTTATTTAATTTTTATGGAATTAACATTTTTATAATGGTTTTGATATTATATTTCTTTAACGATAATCAATTTAATAAAACACAGCTGATAATGTTTTGTATTATATTTTAGTGCATTTAAAAAATTAAGATTTGATAATTAACATTGCGAAAATTTTTTTGCGAATATTGGCAAGTCGCGTTCTTTGAAGATGCGTCGAAGTGAATCTTAAAGTGCTCTATCTCTCTGCGGAGGAAAGCATTAATTATTTGACGAGCGTCTTGATGAGCTTTCTCTAGAAAGGCACTTAAACTATTCTCCCGAGTAGTTCCTCTCGAAGACTTAATGTGCACGTCCTAGTAACCCGTTCATATTACTATACATACATATATGGGAGAATCCAGATAAGTACAGTTAAGTTCAAGTTTCATGGAGCGTTAATTTTGAGAAAATACGATTGATTTACTTCTGATCGATTTACAAAAAAATCGATAAAAATATCTCTTCTTAATCTCCATCTTATTCAATTACAGACTTGATAGTTATACTAATCGTTCCTTATGTTTCAATATTTCAAAAATATTGACAGTGATAATCTCATCAAAACATCAAAAATATTCTAACAGCGATAATTTTTGTAAGTATTTTATAGAAAATTGTTTAAGCAGCAACAGAAAATGTTAGTCTGCAAAGAATATACGATTCGAATTTTCGATATTATTTATTACTCTGATAATTTTTTAAATCGTATTAACATGTAAGAAAATACAATTTTCGTGAAAATGATACCATTCATTCAATCGCTTGGTCTTTCCGTCGGATATCGACTTTTCCGTCTGCTTTTCTTAATTGGATGTGATTTTAATCACATTTGTGAGAAGCAATCGTTCTGATAGCATTATATCGGAATCTCTTCGATAATTGACCTAACTAGGTATAAATCTACCCACATATCCATTTATCTATCTAATGAAACTAACTCTCCATCTATCTATCCATTTATTCGTATAATTAAACCGTCTATCTATTGCTCGATTACATCGAATTTCCTGACTGAAAGACGCTTTTAAAACGTTTGATTGTTACGTCTAAACTGAATTTTCCGATGAACTGACGTTAATTACTAACTGTAGCTTACATTATAGTGTTATTATTAATATTATTTTTACTAGGTCTAATAACATACGTACACAATAAATATACATATAGTTATTATTTATTTATAAAATATATTAAATTATAATTTATAAAAAAATCATTAAATATTTAACTATATATAAATAAATTCTCGATTTATCTGGACACACAAATTTATAAATTTATCTCGTTCGAGTTCTCTATGTTCGGTTTAACGGTCGATTTAGAAGATTTAGACAAAACGTGACGATAAAAGTTTAGCGAAACGAATGTGACCCAATGAACATTTCACGCTCTATGGCAAGTCCAAGATCTCGGGGACCCCAAAGTGCACTGCAAAAGCGATAGATAGAGGAACGAAAGAAAGAGAGAAAGAGAGGGAGATAGCTATTCCAAGTTCACCGCAGAGATGGCCGAAGTTTCCGAATGCCTCCTGGGAAATAAATCGATTCGATATCTGAATAGCCATTACGCAGACGTGGCTTTGCGGAATAAAGAAAGTATAGTAAAGTGGTCGGTGAGAGCGAAAGGAGGCGAGTCTCCTCGGAGAAAAAAACGAAGAAAGGACCTTATCCGGGAACTAGACTAATATTGCAAGTTGAGAAACTACGGCTGGAATTTTCTTTCAATAACCGAGTTATTATTCATCACGATCATTTATTACTCAAAAGTCGGCTTACTCGTGTCATCTTCCACTCTTGCGTCGTATTATTTTTTCGCCAATTCTTTGTAGCTACGTGTAAAGAGGTTCCCTCTCTTCGAACAATGTGGATAAATCGGGTTTTTTTTACTGCCTCAGGGAGAAAATAATGCCAGCTAGTAAAAGAAGGAATTTTGGCAGCTGTCTGTCGATCGTCGATCTATTACGGGAAACGATTCGCGATGCTTATCACTTGTCGGAAATTTCAATTGTCTGATAACAGAAGCGCCGCGCGGCGCCAGCCTTCGCGTAGCTTTTCGGACGGATTTTCTATTTTCTCGCTCGCTCATTTTCTCGAAATATGCTTTCTCCTCCCGGTATATCTTACGCATCAATCTTAGACATTACGCGGATGCTCGAAGATGGAGAATCTAAGAGTTATCCCAGAGCCAGAAATATGAGAACGCGGTAAGTTCCCATTTCGCCAAGATATTCTTCCCAAATTCCGAATGCCGTTCTTGCAGTATTTCGAAGATGAAGTATAAGTGAATTCCTGAGATATTGCCTTGTGCTTAGGTTTTATAGCTCACTATTGTTACACTCATAATTGTTCTCTCGACGACGGAGATACGGTTGTTCGTTATATTGTTAATTTAAGGTTTTTTAAAGATTTAAAAGATATATATTCTAATAGTTTTGGTAACACGTGATGTACCTTTATTTATGAAATATCTGATTACGAGAGTTATCTCACTGAACCAACATAGTAGATTATTACTTCGACTAACATAATATTATCTTATGTCTCAACAATTGATTCACTAACTTCCTCATAACTATTCTCTCTCGTAACGTAAATTCTAGCGTAAAACAATGTAATTCCAACAATAGTCGTAGGGCTAATAATAATTCTAGACTATAGGCACCAACGCCGTGTTCTTTTCCTCGTCAATATGTCATTGACGATAATGCCGCAGTTATTTTTACGCGCCCTTCGATACTTTAATGCGAGCTAAAACGTAGGAGGCATCTCTGTGATCACAGAGAAGAAAATGTTAGGGTCGATTGATAATTTATGAGAACAAAGAGTAAAATTTCTGAGAAAGTTGTTGAATAAGAAGAGATTTTATAGAAATTGCCTGTGAAATTATCTTTTTCTTTTGAAATAGTAATTAACAAATTTAATAGAAGCGATATCACATGACGTCTGATCAAATATTAAATAGCTATATGAAAATGTAAAGGCTATATTGTACTTCAATATATTTTTAATATTTGTACAATTTTATCTTTACATATTTTTAAATTAAACTTTCAAGATTTTGCTTCATTAAAATTTGAAATCAACAAAACTCTTTCTTAGGAGTAAAACAGCTGTTTACTCTGAAAAACTTTTTATGCGCTTTTTTAAAGAGTAAACATAAAAAGATTTCAGTGACTCGTATAATGTTGGCGTAACTCATGTCCGCAAAAACTTGTACCTTTGGGACCGTCTGATCGAAGGGGGAAATGATTTGCGAAGAAAGAAAATGGCACGTAGGGATGCGCCGCTGATTTTAATCCATCACGCTCGACGTGCTGGTGATTAACGAGGGTGTCGCACTGGTTCTCTGGGGGTTTGCGACTTAACGCGGGCTGACATGTGTTTCGTTAGTGGCGATGTCTGCGGCATCGACTTTACCGAGAAGGTATCCTCGCGACGTCTATCGTGGTCTGATTAATCGCCTCACCTCACCCGTTCCGCGGATGATCAATGTACATTTCGCGGGCAATAAGCGAAAGTACAATCGTACTCTCTCGCATTGCCTGACATTCGAACAACGATAATTAACGACAGTTTGCGGATAGTCTTTGTGATAGTTAATTCGCTCTTTAGCATTGTCTTCTCCTGGTGTATCCACAATGTATTATGTATAATTTATAAAGAAAAAAGAGAGAGAGATAAATATCGCCACTTACTCGAGTGCTTTTGGATAAAAATCCTCTCAAGTGCTAAGACAAGATATACCTATATCAGTACAAACTAATTGTTGTTTACAATGTAGAGATTTTTATAAAAAAAAAAAACTAATAAAAAATGGTAATAATAAAAATAATGAGAGAGAGAGAGAGAGAGAGAGAGAGAAAGTAACTGGAGATAGTATACTGTAAAATGGAGTAACTTTAGTCCAAATTTTGATAATATTTAAACAGCAGGCATACAAGAATTTGTATGCCTGAATGATTTAACAATAAGAGACTTTAAAAAAAGATATTTTTAAACATATTATAACTTCATTTTTAATATGCATGCTATCTAAATATTTTTTTTAGTTTACCTTATTTTATGGTAATTTTAAAAAGTATAGTCTGCAAAAAGTTTTTTAATTTGATTTACATTTAAAACATTAATGTGTTTAAAAATTTATTTTAAAGAATTGATAAAGTTGTAGTACATGGTAATCATTCGATGGAATGAGGAAAGAGTTAAAGTTAATATTTATTTATGTATTTTTCCTTGATTCTCTTGGATAGAAAAATAATTCTTCATGCGTTCCTGGGAAAAACGAGGTCGTTTAGCTTATAACCCGACTGCGCGTTATCTATTTGTTCCTGTTAAAAGTTAATTAGCGAACCCGGCGAAATTGCCCGCGGAGAGATCCGACAGGAAAAACAGCGAGGGATCCAGGAAAATATATCTTTCCACGAGAAATCTCTCCACTGTACGAGATTGAATGAATCGCTATTAAAAGTGCGCTTGCGCTTATGGAATTATCCGGAAATACGAACGATGTATCGAGGAAGGGATAAAGACTTGAATATATATACATATATATATGTGTGTGTGTGTGTGTGTGTGTGTGTTGGTGTGTGTGTATTTATGGCGTCACAGTATTAAAGTCGCTTCTCGCCACGAATAGAATTATCCACGAGTGCACATTCTTTCGCGAGCATGCTTGTATCGGAGGGGCACTTTGTCACGAATGCACGATACGGTTGCAGTCATGCATGTGCACTCGGAAGAAGCGGTGCGATTACAATTTACTCGCGGCACCGTCGTCGTCGTAGTCGTACATCTTT